ATTAATATAAATTATGAAACATTGTGGAGCCACCAATTTGGGGCTCCACTTGTACAAAGGGCTCCACTTTGTTTGTGTATGTCTGGTCTACAGGCTCCACTTCTACGTCTACACCAACACACACGCACACACACACACACACACACACACACACACACACACACACACACAAAGAAATGCCATATTTACTCTATTAGAAGCACATGTCTAATAAATAAAATCTCATGTATGATGTGTCAATTTAGCCCACTAATATTAGGTCATGTGACACAAAACTATGATGAACGAGGAGGTATAACTGCAAATATAGTATTTATAATTATGGTTAAAGTTGTCCTATCTCTGATGTACGTAGTAGTGGTGTGCCATGTTTCAAATGCAACATATGCATGTGATATGTGCAGGATATCCTGGTCAGAAGTTTATTTTTTTGCAAATATTTGCTGAACAAGCTTTTTCTATAGTTTGGGTGTGATTGAGTTTTCAGCAAAATCTTAAGAATCATATGAGGAACTTTCTTTCTAACAATTTGAATATGTACAAATTAAAATTCAGTGTTTCCCCATAGAATTGTTTGTGATGAGCAACTGCTGCTTTTAGAGTCCTCACTACTAAACTTAGATGGTGATTCTTGACATTTGTGGTCGAAGTAAACTTTAAACATTTCTTACTTTCTCATCTAGTGTGTTTCATCATAGAATTTGAATCTGCATTTAGATTGTGCAGATAAAAAAATAAACCAGCCGATAAGTGACAAATTTTGACACACATAACGCACAAACCGTGTAAGTACTGTTTTCAGTTCATGGTTCAATTTACTACATAAGTTAGAGATATAAGGTAATATATAATAATAATATGTTAACTGATAAAATAACTTCAAGAGCCAAAGCTTAAAGAGACTTGTGACTCTAAAGTAACCTTTTAATCAATCATCGCCAAACCATGATTACACTCACCTCCAGAAATGTAGATCCAAACCAGGACATCTGTCACCGCATTTCAAACATGGCGCCCCAGCTCCCACTTCATGCAAAGGAGCAATCTACAACAATAAAAAAGTGTCAAGATTATTAGAAGCTTTTATTGCAAGAAGTGGGAGGTCAGTCGTTTCTGAGATATTACAATGCATTATGGGAAGTACTACACAGAATCATGGTTATGTTACATTATAGGAGATATAAATTAAAGCATTATGGGAAATGTCATAGATAGATCACTGGGGGGCCCAATACAGTATAACATATCAAGTACCATGTCATTATGAACAATCATACAACACTGCATCATGGGATGGCATGAAGCATCATGGGAAATATCACAGAATATTATGGGTATAATGAAGAGCATTGTGGGAGAAATAGTGCATCATCATAGGATGTAACCATGATACATTTGTACTGCACTGCATCATGTGATATGATAACATGATGCATGATGGGAATGAGTCAAATTAATGGATGTGGAAACCACATTTGAAATAGCAGAAGAATGGAATTTTCTGTTTGAAAAGATTTCAGATTTATTCATTGCAATGAACTTAAAATTTATTTAATTAAAGTTTATAATCTGCTTACATATCGACACATATCGCAGTGTCTACTGACTATTGTAAAAAGATGTAGATATGCAATCAACAATCACTTGACTATACAAACCAGCTGAGCCATGATTTCTCCCATATCATAAGTACCATTCTCACTCATATCACTCATAAATTGCCTACATATGAATCACAAATCCATCCAAGCATATAGGGGATTCATTTCGCTAGGTGTCACATGACTACGACTATAATAAATATGACTGGTGATTGGTTAATTCTAGCTGATGTGTCATGTGATAGATGGGAAGGGTTCTTATTTGATCCAGACAGAAGGCTGCTTGGCAATTGTCGTTCTATTTTTATAATATGCATCATTTTATTCATGGACAAGTTGTATCCATGCAACAGTCAGCCCCGGAAGTCTATATTAATTAGTTATTATAAATAGCTCAGATAAAATTTGCATGCCATATTGTCACTGCTGTATATAAATATTAGGTATTTAACTACTGTAGAATACTTTATTTTCATTTGGGAATTTATTTTTGCTATTTTTGCTAAAGGGATGATTCGGTGAAAATAAAAATCCAGCGAATATACTTTTTTTCCTATATTTCACATTAAACTCATCAAAAATCAGTGAAAATTAATTCCATACAAAACGCCCAAAAAGCCTTTTCAGAAAATTAATTCCAGCGAAAATAAAGTATTCCACAGTATGGCATATTTTCACAGAATCATCATATATATTTCAAGGTGTGTTTTGATAAAAAAGAGGACCTTAGGGAGGAAATAAGAATAAATGATATTCTACATGTATAAATATGTGACATCACGTTAAATTTAAATTGGACAAGTCGGTCAGCGTACAATTTTGTTTCAATAACCACTTGACAGCCATTGTGTTGCTGTTCATAAAGTAGTCCCAGCCAAACTTAGTTGAAGCAACATTGTCATATGAAGAAAGGACTTTGTTGAAAAGAAATTATATCTGCTTTTGTAGGCTCTTGAGAAATACAGTTCCTGATAACAGCTTAAAGGAGGATTAACCTATTGAATTCTGAAGGCACTCAATTTTAACGCAAATACAGAGGAAACTCAAATTGTGAAGGAAATAAAAACAGACTGTTTTAAAGTGAACCAAAGAAAAGGTCTGTGTAGTCTTCAGCTCTGTAACAAGGCGATAAAGTTAACATCTAATCAATAAAAACTGTAAAAACCAAAACATAAAAATAAATCAGCACTTAAATGCCTCACCCTAATGTGATTAAAATAAGATCCTAGTTTGGGGTTTTTTTTTTTTTGCGTTTTTATCATTTATACATTTTCATATATTTTATTATTTGTTTACAATTTATTTGCTGGTATCGCGAAAGTTCGTGATTACCAAAACTTTAAAAAAAATACCAGCAAATAAATTGAAAAGAGAAAGATAAAATATATGAAAATATATATTAACAAAGAAAACAGAAAAAAAGAAGCCCAAACTATTAAAGATCTTATTTTAATCAGATTGGCCTCACCCTAGATTTATGCAATATCTTTTGTGTGATTCTAACTGAAGGCCAATTCTGCCAACAAATTAATATCGCCATGACAACAACCATTATTCAAATCAATATCTTGATTGGAGGTTCAAGGGTAACAGTTGTATATAGGTGGAAAACCTTCAAGATTAAATGAATACTGTATCCCCCATGTAAATTGTAGAAAGCCAGCAAGTCAGCGAACACCAAATATGATCAGTGTTGCATCCTCATTCCTAGGCACTGTTATATTGTGCAACACACTAGGATGTATGTGACACATGTTGTAAAAATGTGTGTGCATTCTGCGTTTAATATTTCATTTTAGTTGTCTTTGTTTCCATCTACTGTGAAATAATTTATTTTCCCTTGGAATTCATTTTCGCTATTTTCGCTGAGGGAATGATTCAGAGAAAATAAAATCCAGCAAATATACTATTTTTCCTATATTTTTTATTCAACCCATCAAAATAAATTCCATACAAAACACCCAAAAAGTCTTTTTAGTAAAAATTAATTCCAGCTAAAATAAATTATTTTACAGTATAAGTTGTGAATTTAAAGTTTAACTGTCGCCAGAACTACGTATGTGCGAATTCTATTATCTGGTTGAATGTTACCTACAACACGTGATCTACGTATTACACGCACACGCATTCAACGTAACAAACATAAACATTGTCAACGGTCACAACTATGATCTTTTAGCATGACACACATTCCTGACAACCGTTTGAATTAGTAGCTTGTCTGTAAATGCACAACTGGATTTGAGCAAATCACTAAAAACAGATCGCTATCAAATGTAAACATTCCTTTGTTTTGCGATCTTCCCCTAGGCGCATGCACAGTTATGCCAGTGATGCTTTTTAAAATAGCAATATTAATCAATAACATTGTGTTACAAACATAATTTTGAAGAAATGTGCCAAATATAGCACAAATATTTAAATATTTATTTTAAGCAGTGTTTCAATAGAGCACAGTCAATAGACTATTTTTTTAATGTTGAACTATTATTATTAAAACATATTTCAAAAAAACACTGTCGTGCAGTCACAATACATAACTGGGTAGAAGAAATGTCTTCACTGTAGTATGGTTCACAACAGTTTTTAAATTTGTTTTAATATTCATTTGCAGTTACATTTTAATTTTAAATTTGTTAAAGTGAATTTAAAGACAAAAGTTAAAACAAATTCAAAATGAAAATGAAGTTAGAAAACTTTAATTGTAAATGAAAACAAAACGTATAATTTTTGATACATCAGTCGTCGTAATCTTGAAACCAATGATTAAAATGTTTTAAATTTCATTAATTTAAATTCATAACTAAATGTGTATTCAACAGTTTCTTAAACAATAGTACGGTGACCTCAACATTTGACGTCAGTGTTCTTACATCATGATAGGAATTCACACCTGCCTGTCTGTCTGTCTGTCTGTCTGTCTGTCTGTCTTTCTGTCCAGACAAGCAATATTTCATGGAACAGTTGCTTTGATAACGTGCAAGTCTGTCATGGCAAACCCGCAGGAATTTTATACTTATTGGTATAACTAATAATTTACTGGTAGTCAAGTATAGAAAATTGTTAAATTTGATGATCAGTCACTTTTTTTTCTTTCAGCCAGTCCTATTGACATTTATTCAGAGCCCTGGTCCCTGGGCACAGCATACTGCAATTTTGATAAATTATAAGGAGTTGTATTTATTTCTAGTGAGAAGGCATGCATACATTTCAGTTAGTCAAGTGGATGTGTTATCATGTACTATACAGACAAATACAAATATTTTGCATATTTTTGTAAAGTTGTGTTATCTGGAGAGAAATCAAGGTCAAGTACCCAAGGCTCAGTTTGTTCACCTATATTCTAATATAATATG